CACTAGCAGGATCAATCCCAGCTCCCTGCAGGGACTTCTACTGTTGTGTCCTCGGGCAAGGCACTTCCCCCTCCTTGCCTGCTGATGGTGGTCGGAGGGAACGGTGGTACTTGTGCTCAGCAGCCTCACCTCTGTCCATGTGCCCCAGGGCAGCTGTAGCTACGTTGTAGCTCACCACCATCAGCATCTGAATGTGTTTCCATGGATGAAAGAAGCGCTGTGAAGTGCTTTGGAGTCACGGACTATGAAAGGTGCTGTCTAAGAGCGGGTCATTTATGAACGTTACCTATAACAACACACTTGTCTAAAACGCCTGCCTCAGTCACCAGTTTCACTCAGAGACATTCGGACTTATCGGATGTATCCCATACTGTCTGGTGCCCGCGTTAACCTGCTTCGTCACTGCACCTGCCAGACACATTGCTATAAAACACTTGCTGTTATGTATTTTCAGTGGCCCTGTGGTACGAGTGCTGCCCTGGGACTGATAGGTTGGGGTTCGATTCCCGGTCGGGTCATACCAAAAACTTTAAATATGGAGCCCGATGCCTCCCTGCTTGACTCTCAGTTTTAAGGAGGTGGATTGGGGGGGGTCGAACCACCAAATAGTTCCCGAGCTCAGCCACAGTCGCAACTCACCACTCCCCACGGGGATGAGTCAAATGCGGAGATGTAATTTCACCGGTGTGATGACGACTAATTGTACTTTAACGTTATTTCCCATTATAGTGAAGTTACTTACCATTAGGAAACGCCAAAACACTGATGACTAGGAAGAAGGAGATGACCAGAATGAGCCCCACCCAAACATTACTATCTTGATCTCCATCATCTCTGTAACCACAGGGTGGAAAACAAATATTCAACTATTTTGTAACCATTAGATAAGCATTCACTCAAATATTTATAAAAATATCATGCTCCCCAGTCCCCACAAAAATATCGCAGATTGAAGTGTGCAGATTTAGTTCCTCTAAATTCTGTAACTACAAATCAGACGTTGATACGTCGCATATCTGACGTCACCACAGAATCTCCTCTCCCCCAGCTTAGCTGCCATTTACCACATAACCAGGTTTATGTTGGATCTTCCATCCTGAAAAGAGGATTCAAATTTCGCTGAAGTTACAGCCATTTTCCCTCTTCTTTTCTCTGTGTCTGGTTCGATGATGTCAGTTTAGTGAGACGAATTTGTAGTCCTGGATGTATTTTCACACAAAACCAAACGTTTGCTACAGTTAGAAAAAAACTGCCTTTGTGGCATCAGAATGTCTTTAAAAGACAGACATATGTGAAATCCATGGCACAAAACAAGCGGCATTAGAAAATAGCGTTTTTAGCCCCACTGACTTGCATTCATTTTTCAGGGGACCCATGGTCCAGAGGTAGCTGGGCGTGACTCCCTATAGGGAGCCTCGTCAAGCCCATCTACTTACGGACCATGGGTCCCCTGAAGAACGAAAAAATGAATGCAAGTGCCTGGAGACACATTTTGATACCAAGAACGCGCTTATTTTCGAACTGAGGGAAACGCTATTTTAGGTTTTGTGTGAAAATAAGTCCAGGACTACAAATGCGCTTCACGAAAGTGACGTCATCGAACAACATGCTTCTGGTGCGTAATCATGAAAATTACGAACTTTTACAAGCTGATAAATCTCAAAGTACGTGACTGGCGTGGCTGAAACACCGATCACTACTTTTCATTTAAATTGCAGTACAACACAAGTGCAATCCAGGGCCAGCGGATTAGAAAATAGCGTTTTCAGCCCCGTTGACTTGCATTCATTTTTATCGTTCTTCCAGGAACCCATGAGCCAACCGGAAAGGGAGGAGAATTAGGCTCCCTATATGATTCTGCTAATTATGATGTAATTAATATATATTTGGTATAAAAGGTTTTGATTTAGTTTATGATTGATTATAAATACTTGACTTACTCAAATTGCTTAATTTTAGTAATAATATTTGGAGCGTATACTATACAACTAACATTACATGACATAGTTAAAGTTTATATGTGCCAATACCGATGATAAGTGTATGTAAATACTGGCTAACTTCGGGTCCAGGCGGTCTAAGCATCACTGGTGTTAGCCTAGCTTAGCTAACATTAGCGCTAACGTCTCAACCGGTCTCACCTTGTAAACGCGAAATACATCAAACTGAGCACCGTGCACGTCAGCAGAGTGATGGTGTGAGGTTTGTAGAAAAACTCTATGGTGATATCTTCAACCTGCTGTTCGTTAATCATCCTGAAATGCATTCTGTAATTCACATCATCCTTGCTCAAGGTGTGTGATCCGCTATACACGGAGGCCATCGCTCCGGGACGCAGGCAGGCGGCAGCTCCACAAAGCCAAAGGGAGTGATCCAAAACAAGTACCTTGAACAGGAACGAAACATATACATATATAAACATATGAAGTCACATGACTGCAGCTGGGAGAGGACAGAAGGAAAACGACAATCCGAAAGGGAAAGCAGAGCTCCACAAGGGCTGTTTAAAAGGGGCAATCTTCGCCAGCTACAAGTGGGAGAGGCACACAGCTGCAACAAGACGTCGCATGGAGGTCCACTACTTGCCAGAAATTACGTCACCTCCATGGCTGTACCCGAATCGTCCGAATCCAGCAAGAGTACCTGGCTGCAGCAAAATGGTGAAGGTAGCGCTGCCGGAAATTACGTCACATTCACAGGAGGTGAACCCGTAAGTCATGTGACCTAGTCCCCCCCCCCCCCCCCCCCCCATAATGGAAAGAGCTTCAAAATCAAGGTTTTTTTTTCTTCATTCAAACTGGATCAAATGTTTAATCATTTTTAGGATATTGAACCTGGAAGTCACGTGACCTAAAGTACTTTCGTCTTTTTTCCGACAATTCCTTATCGTTTTATTTATTTATTTATATTGATCAAAATCAAGTACAAACACCTCATAGAGGTACAGAAACACTGTGCAAAAGAACAAGATAACAGCATAAGGGAACAGAATAAGGGGCATTCACAAATTTAATTAAATAAAATGCAAGGCTAAAGGCATATGAGATTCAGTTCAAAGTACATGAAACATATACATGTTAGAACAAATTTTTGATCACGTTCAGATTTAAGAAGTCTCAATGACGAGTAGTAAAGTTGAAATTCCTTCAAAAAATGATCAAAACAAGGGGCAGCATTTCTCTACTTACAACAATGGATATGGTATTTGGCGAGCAAAAAAACAATACTCGCAGCGTCGGATACTTTTTTTCCCAGATTGTTAAAGCAATATAAAACATGGGTAATGTTGAGCTTGGGAATGTTAGCTATTTTAACAGACAACCAGTCTTTAATATCACTCCAAAATTGAAATGAAACGGGACACATAAAAATAAATGATCTAATTATTCTTCAGGACAATCGCAAAAGACACAATGGGATCATTCAAACTTAAATCGTTTGTGCAGAAAAACCCCAAAGCATCAAAATATGACGCTTGTGACCAAGCCTCAATATATGACGAATCGGGACGCTCCAGCGCGTCAGGAGACGACGATCAGGGACACGATGATGACGCACCGTCCCAGAGCGTCGATTAGAGCCCTGCACTGAAGCGCTAGGCCCTCGGGTCGGCCCGGCCCGGCCCGACGGCCCGAGGGCCGGGCTTCAGGCCAACGACTGTGCAATTACCTCGGACACGGGCCGGGCGCCTTTATTTTTAATCAAAATCATTAAAAAAATTAAAACACTTAAACGCAGCAGTAGAGCCCTGCGTGGGACTGTTTTCTTCATCCCGCTCCTGCCCGCTCCAGCTGAATTTCTGACCATTACCGCCTGCAACTGCAACGTGTGTGTTACACTCCCGCCCGCACCTGCAGCGTACATGTCTACTCCCGCCCGCAACCGCAAAACTCGGAGAAATTATTACCTCACAATAAAAGAGATGTATTGAGTTTGCGTCCTCAACATGTCATTTTATAGGTTATCCGCTTTCACCGCAGCGCTGCGCACCGTTTCAATCAGGCTGTACAGCAGGATTTCCCCTCGTAGCGATATTTTCTCTAATTCTGATTGCTTCATGCTATAGATCGTTGGAAAGCTGCTTTTATGTACTTTTAGGAACCGTTGGAATTATTTGAATCTGATCAGCCATTCAAAAGTTATAAAACGGAGCATTTTGGATGACAAACTCGCACGTCTCTGAATCTGTGTTGTGATTCGTTGCGCTCAAGACAGGGAATCCTGGTGGCTACCGTAATGTATTGTAAAGCACGGAAAGCCCCATTTTTTATCTTTTCATCACTTTTGGAATTTTAATGATATCTTGAACGGTTCAGGAATTATGGTAATGAGAAGTGCGCATGTCCAATCCCGTCTGCAGCGACAGGTTGGTAATAAGAATATTGTGGCATTAACAGAGGGGTGCCGGCGGTCAGGGCTAGGGGGCCCCCCAACACAAGGGGGCCCCAGGCAGCCGCCGATCTATGCCTAATGGTAAAACCGCCTCTGGGTACAGGTGTTAGAATAACTTTATATATAGTTTATGTTTTGTGTTAAATTAAACTTTGGTTAGATATCCCCAATGATTTGGTGGGAGTATAGCTGCCATCTACGGTGGCCCTGAAGTGCAAACCACAAAAACAAATAACTTAAAGCAACAACAAATTGAAAAGCGCAAAAACAAATCACTAAACGCAAAACCAAATTGAAAACCACAAAAACAAAAAACAAACTGGAAAAGGTAGGTACCAATGCTGCAACAACAGGCATCACTGATTGGATGATGGATCCGTTGGCCTTTTGAAGCAAAAGTTGATCTGCCGAACGTGGTTATGTGAAAGAGCAGTCAGCGGGTGTGTGCGAATCCACAGGCAGGATGCTTACGAGTACGGGTCCTCGCCGGTCTAGCAAGGCCGGGTCATTGCCAGACCGCTAAGACCGGAACCCAGCGGCTCTGAATTCGGACAGTCTAGCCTTCACCTCTACGGTGGCCCGTAGGTCCCGTCACAGCCGTGGCGGCAGCTACACGCAAAGGAAAAATGCTAAAGCTTGCGAAAATGGAGCAGGAATATTAAATAGCTACAGCAGCTTCACGTCCATCAGCAGCGTTTGTTCACAACCGTTTTCAGGTAAAGTAGTTTAGTTTATTCTAGAAGCTTTCAGGACTTACATGTTAACTTTAGATGGTTTCATGTATGTTTTAAGCTACAGAATGAACTTGTTAAACATACACAACACATTACTACAGAGTATTATCATGTAGGTAATTAATATAAACCAAATGCATTATAAATGCTGTAGAAACCTAAAAAGCTTAAAGCGGTTCAGTTTAAAGACATTTTTCGTTTGTATATTTGTTTTTAAAATTACATTTTAGGCAGAAATCACCCAGAATGAGTTTGTTTTGCAGGTCCAAGTTATTCTCGTGTGTGTGTGTGTGTGTGTGTGTGTGTGTGTGTGTGTGTGTGTGTGTGTGTGTGTGTGTGTGTGTGTGTGTGTGTGTGTGTGTGTGTGTGTGTGTGTAGTGTCATGTTGGGCGGAGTGGAGATGGTAGACCATGTGTGGTGGAGAGTTCAGGAGGCAGGAGAGCAGGCACGGATGAAATATAAAAATGGTTTTAATGGTGGAACGGGAGCGACAGGACAAAACAAGCACATGCACATACAATGATCCGACAAAGACTGGTACAAGGAGGGAGGTATGAATACACAGGGAAATCAGGAACACATGGGCAGGTTAACGAGGGGCAGGTGAGAACAATAAGGGCTAATCAGGGCAGGAGAGAGACACAGTCACGAAGGCAGGGGCGGATAGTGACAGTGTGTGTAGGGCTGGGCGATATGACGATTTTAGACCGTTTTACGAGCTACACATCTGACGGTCTGTCATTTTTGAGAGACCGTTTTATCACGATTCACAGCTCTGCTGTTGAATTTCTGCCTCTGAATGAAAAGGGAACTTACCCCAGGCGAATGACACGCCTTTGTTTGACCCTTAACCAATCAGAGTGAGTCATAGTAATATATTAGTGCCCCGCTTGTTTTCACCAAGCCCCCACAATGCCGCTCGGAAAATGGTCCCAACCCGGAAGTAAGAAAAATTGCAGTTCCACCCTCATCCGCTGGGGGCTGGTGCCAGAAGCGAGCAAATCCTCATTGACTCCCATGTTGAAAATGCCGATTTCACAGCAGAAATAAACATGTTTACAGCCTGGTGCCAAAACATGTTTTTTGTCTAAATTATCTAGTTTATACTCATGACAACTCTGAGGGGGGTGAATTTTTTTCTCACTCTTCTGTTTAAGTGTATTGAAAGCCTAAAATTCTGTATAATTAATGAGCATCCGACACACGTGACCGCCGCCTCAGACCCACGTGACCACAGAGCTAGCTCCGTGGAAAGGCCTCAGTACAGCCTCGGCCCCTCCTGGAAGCTGTTTCGGGATTTTGAGTCTCTGTGCTTGTGAATTCTGTTTTGGATATTATTGGTGCAATTGTTGGACAAAATGACTTGCAGTGGTATTAATTGCACTAATAGAGCGTCCAAGGAGTCTCCACTTCATTTTTTTCGGTAAGTTAAAATCTATATTCGTATTTTATGTCACTGCTGCCTTTAAACTAGCTGAGTTTACCGAAGTAGCTAGCTAACCATCAGTTTAACATGTAGCATTTACTGTTTAACCATGAAATTTAAATGTAAAATACGGTAAAATAATTAATAGGGCATATTTAGATGGGTAATATGGTAAAAGATCAAAATGGGTTGAAATATGACGGAGCGCTAAGAGGGAGACTTCTGTGTCCATTCTTCCACCCGGTAATCCCCAGCGGTCAGGCCGGGCAGCCTGACCGATCCGGCGCCTACTTGCTGCGCCTAGCTGCTGCGTGGTCTGACCGCTCGTGGAGTTTTTCATGTCTGACTTTAACCGCATCTAATACTGTATTATGGCATGAGCGCAACAGCGACAACTTAATATCGATGTGTAAGCAGCCTGAGTGGTAGGGTGTTTTCATCTGAACCCTTAAAATCTCCAGCAGGCTTGGAGTGACACCTGTGTCCATTCTTCCATCCGGTAATCCCCAGCGGTCAGGCCAGGCAGCCTGACCGGTGCGGCGGCTAGTTTCTGCGCGGGCTGACCGCTCATGGAGCTCTCAGAGACAGATCTGACCGGAGAAATACTGCAGCTCGGTGAGAAGTCTATAGGGCATACAGCGTTTCCCTTAAATCCCACCGCCACGCCGACAAGATCCCAAGTTTCTTTGTTTTTGTTGGCGCTGTTTACCGAAGAAGCAGCGGGAACTAATATGTTGTCGCTTGTGATCACAGCCGGCGGGTAGCAAGTATGTACAGTCTATGATTTTACCTCTCCCTCCTGCAGTCTTCCCCTATTAAAATTTAAAATGTGTAACTTCATGTATTGGGATGAATGACTGATATTCATGTTAAACTCAAACGTTAGGCATTTAGGGGGAAAAAACAAAATAATAAACATTATACAGATGTCAAATAAATCAAACTGTAATTAAACAATATATTTTCAAAGTCTCGATTCTGGATAAAATCCAACAACATATGCTTTATAAATAAACACTACACATGGCTTTTACACACACACACACACACACACACACACACACACACACACACACACGTTACATTGTGATTTCTTAGTAAATATTCTATTTGGCGAGAGATAAATTTTATTGTATTTATCCT